TCGCTACTGTACTTTAGTTTTGTCCTCTTGTTCCCTACGTACACTTCATATGGACAGTACTCAGTAATAGACTCAGTTGTCTATTCCAGTTCTAGTCTGAAGTCTAGCTTCATTCAGTCTGCGCTCTCAAACCGCTATCAGATATAGCGGCTCATTCTACAAGTCTAGAACCTTAGCGTGTATTAGTCCAGTAAACAGTTAACAGTTGAACTCCTGATCCTCAGTCGATAGGTCCCTTAACACAGAGACCCCAAATACTAATCTTGATGCTCCCATATGTACTCAAAGTACACCTGCATTGGATTGTTGCTGTCGCGGTTGGCAGTGATGACAGGGAGAGTGGTGGTCATATGCGGGAGGGGGCGCTGGGCAGTCGTGGTGATGTTGTATGCCCACTAGTGTTCGCACTCAAGATAGCGAATGGTGGTGCGAAGGGTGAGGGCAAGGGTGCTGAGAAGGGTGCTGAGGAAGAAGCCCAGAAGGGCTAGGAGGAGAAGGTTGGGGTGCTCATTGACGATGGTGAGGGTGACAGTGGTGAAGGGGGCAACTTGGTTCACCACTGAGGAGATCAGTAAATGGAATGGGGATGAGCTCAATGGGGGACGTTACTTGTGTTCCGTTGTTGGCCCAATTGAGAGCTTGTTTGTTGATAGGGGTGGTGGTGAGAGGAGTGGGGGTGTGTTCAAGGTGGACCTTGAAGGTGTAGCTGTCTTTGAGGAAGAAAACAGTGAAGGCGATGATGAGGATGAGGAGGACGATGAGTGTCCAGCTGACAAGAAGGAGTGCAGCAAGGATGGTGATGGATGCCATTGAGGGGGACTGAAGCGCGTAGTTCTTATAAGGAGTCATCCTTTGTTTGGTTGCAGAAAGTCTGCTAAAGCATCTTTGGCATGTGAAAGTTCGGCTTTTGGCAGCCAGGAGTCATCCGAGGCCGGGTATCCTTTCTATCTTACCTGGTACAGTGTTCGCTTGCCAACCATCTTTGAATCAATGATACGTTCAACTTCAAACTCCTCCTGGTTCTTGATTAGTTCCGGTGGAGGTCGGAGGTAGTTCTTCCCATGCATTGCTGTTTCTGAATAAGGATAGAGTAATCCGGCATGGAACACGGGGTGAATCTTCTATTTGGGCGGCAGTTTCAGATGGTAGACAACTGATGACAGCTTCTGATCGATGGTGAAGGGTCCATAGCGCTTTGGTCCGAGTTTGGCTTTTGGGTGGAGGCCTTTGAGGTTAGTGGCTTCCAGCCATACCTTCTGTCCAGGTGAGTATTCAATGAACTTGTCCTTGTTCCGTCTCTTGACAGTTTCCTCTGCTAGTCGAATGCTGGACTGGATCTCTGTGCGCAGGTGTGCCAATTGAGTGAGTCTAGAAGTAATGTCTGGAGCATCTGTTGTTCCCACAGTGGGAATATTATACCGAGGTTGGTAGCCCATGAGTGCTTGGAAAGGAGACGTCTTGATTGCATCATGATACCTATTGTTATGTGCGAATTCTGCCAGTGGCAGGTGACTTGTCCAGTCAGTTGCTCAGTGATTGCAAAAGATCCGAAGATACAATTCCAGATCCTGGTTGACACGCTCTGACTGTCCATCAGTCTGAGGGTGGAACGCGCTAGAAATGTTCTGTTTGATGCCTAATTTAGTGCAGAGCTCTCTGAACATTCATGATGCAAACTGTGGCCCTCTGTTGGAGATAGCTTTCACAGGTAGTCCAAACCGTCGGAAGACATGGTTCTGATATAGGGTAGCTGTCTCAGATGCTGTAACTGTCTTGTTGCAGGGAATGAATACCATGGCTTTGGCACAGTCATGATCAGTGACTACTAGACAGCTGTCGAAGCCGTTACTCTGAGGAAGATCCATGATGAACTCCATAGCGATAGATTGGAAAGGAAGGTGATGTTCTGTTGAAATGGGCATGAGATCCGGGGAGTTCCTATGTGTGATGACTTTATTCTCTTGGCAAGTTGCACAACCAGTGACGTAGTCATTGACGTCACGCGCAAGAGTGGGCCACCAGTAGGTTCTTTGTAGAATCTCCTGCGTCTTGTAACACCCAGGGTGTCCTGTGGTAGGGGAATCATGAGCTTCCTTAATGAGATCCTGTTGAAGTTTGGTGTCCTTGGGTATGTAAACTTGTCCTCTGAATACCAACAAGTTGTCCTGAATGTCCCAGTTAGGAGGAGTGCACTTTTCTGTGGATGAAGTGTGTTGTAATGCCAGCCGAAGTCTGTGATTGGCAATGCTGTCCTTGGTTTTGCAGGCCAAGATGCATTGTTTGATGTCTGTATTGATGGGTTCGAGGTTCTGAATGGCTTGAATGAAGACTTCTGATGGAAGAAGGACTTCTTCCACAGGAAGTTCACCCCCCCCTTCAGACGCATCTTGATTGACCCGTGACAGTGCATCCACCTTACCCAACCGAGTTCCAGGAACATGGCGAAGGCGGTAGTTGAACATGGACAGATACAGCGCCCATCTCGCTTGCCAAGGATTCAATTTCTGGGGGTCTTTGAAGTATGTCAGATTCATATGATCTGTTAGTACTTCCACTGGTTTGTGCATCCTTCAATGTAGTGTCGCCAGTTTGAAACATCTGATGATTGCCAAGAGTTCTCGATCGTAGATTTCGTACCGTTGTTCTATGGGAGAGAACGACTGGGATAGGAAAGCACATGGATGCCATCTTCCATCAGTTTGTTTCTGAGATAGGATACCACCGGAGGCTTTCAGAGAAGCATCGGACTCTATTTGGAATGGTTTGGTAACACCAGGTTGTACCAAGAGTGGTCTAGTCTTGAAACTTTCCTTGAGTTGATTGATGGCTTTGTCATGAACATCAGTCCAACTCCACTTTATCCCTTTTACCAATAGGTCGAATAATGGTTGTGCTACTTTAGAGTATCCTGGGATGAATCTTCGGTAAAAATTGGCAAAACCCAGGAAGCATTGCAGTGCTTTGATGCTGTCAATCTTTGGGCCAATTTAGTACTGCTGATACCTTATCTTCTGCCATCCCTATCTGTCCTGATCAGAGAATGAATCCTAAGAATTCGACTTCTGATACGTCAAAGAAGCATTTTTCTGGTTTGAGGAAGAGGTCTGATTCTTTCAACCGTTGAAGGACTAATTGAGTGCATTGCCGATGTTCTGAATAATTGGTGGAGTAGATGAGGATGTTGTCAATGTAGATTACTAGCCATCCTTCTGGGAGGAGGTCTGCAAAGATGCCGTCCATCATGCTTGAAAGGTGGCTGGAGAGTTCGTCATTCCAAAGAACATGACAGTTGGTTCAAATCACCCTCTTGGCATGATAAATGCTCCTTTCCATCCATCACCTTCCTTGATGCGTATATTGTTGTAGCCTGCACGTAAATTGAGTTTGGTGAATATTGTTGGCTTGCCGGATGCGATGCGATCTAATAGATCTTCTACTCTTGGTATAGGGTAGGCATTCTTGATGGTGGTGTCATTGAGTTTCCAGTAGTCTTGGCATGGTTGGAGATCTCCAGACTTTTTGTTGATGAAGAAGAATGGAGATGCCATAGGAGACTTTGATGGGTGGATGTAGCCCTTCCGTAGGTTTTCCTCAATGAAGGTATCCAGCTCCTTAAGTTTGGCTGGTGAAAGCAGATGGACCTTTCCCCGTTGGGGCTTAAAGCCGGCTTCTAGATTGATTGCATGATCCCAGGGTTTTCTTTCTGGCAATCGTTCCACTGTGGTTTTGTTAAATACAGAGAGGAACTTTTCCAGGTATTCCGGGATATTGCTAGCAAGGGTTTCAATTGCTTGTAGAAGTTGATCCCAACAAAAGCGCATCTTCCCAGTGATCCAGT